GCAACGTAACGCGTAAAAAGACAGTACAAGTCATTATAATCCGTAATCCCCACTGGATGCAACACATGCCTCATTTATAACAGGTTTTAATGTTTATGTCTCGTCGCTCCGGCCAGACAGGGCATCACAATATGGTAAGGATCGTAACATTTCCATCACACGCTTGAGGTATTCGGCCAATCACAACGCTCTGGATAGCTGGCCAATCAGAGCACACCTCGCTTTTCAGACCGATGAGCTTTGTAAAAATCGACACGTTTCAGAAAGGCGGGGCATAGAGGAGAAACAATAATGTACAGTATGTGGAAAATAATGTGTTTTTTTAACCTTAAACCGCATAAACACATTTCATTACACCAAATACACAAAATAATGTTCTTTTTAGCAGCATCATATGACCCCTTTAAAGACGCAGTTGTATGACGTGATAGTATGTCCCAAAGCTTGTCTACTCTTCTACTACACACTCAAAAGTGTGCACTTTTTCTTCACCAAAAGAGTACATACTTTAAGGGCGTAGTATGAGTAGGTACATTGAGACGCAGCAACGCTTTGCTAAATCTTAATTACATAAAAGTTGACATTATGAGATAAGAAGTTAATTATGATATAAAATAAGTCATAATCATGAAATATAAAGTCACAATTAATACATAAACATCAAAATTATGATATTAAGTCAGAGGATTAAGATTTATTAAGACTTTATTAAGATAAAGGGGCTAAGTCATAATTGTGACAGTTAAAATGTTTCTCACAATTATGACAAACATTCTTTTAGAGTTTTGACTTTTCATGTCATAATTATTGTTTATCACATTTTTTTTTTTTCTAATTTGGAGGAAACTGACTTCCACAACAAGGTCCTGTCTATGTACAAAACAAAACAATTTTCCATTTAATAATTTCGGCAAGATGAAAAGAGTGACAAAGCAACATAACATAATAGCCAAATATACTCACCTCTCTCTGGTAATCACTCGCTTCACTGTGTCTGAATCCTGCCCAGGAGAGAAAGACACGAAAGAGATGCAGAAAGGCTTTACAAAACTTTCAGAAAACGCTCACTGGCGTGCTCTCTGTCACGTTCGACCTGTCAAGTGCCCAGTAGTGTCATATTTTTGAGTCGTCTTAACGCAGCAATTGCCTGACGAGACCCATCAGCCAAACAAAACACAATCGATCAGAAAGGAGACCTACCGTGAGCTCCATATGCACCTGCTGCGATAGCAAGAGCTCCAGAAATCCCTGCTACCCTCTGGACCAGCGAAGCGGCGTTCATGACTCCTGAAGTAACCAGGGAACAACTGTAAGCTCATGCAGGAAACTGATGTCATTACGGATCTAACAGGAAGAATGACGCTATCTACTCGTAATTACGAGCGCTGAGCCAAGATGGCGTCCAAAGGCACAGTTTCACATCACGTGAGCGTTCCGGTAAAGCTTTTCAGTGAAGTGACAATGAACTAGTTAAGATCAAACAAATTACACAATATGGTAAGTGCAACAATTAAAATAGAATAATAATGAGTTATTTGTTTAAAATAGTACACTTTGCGCAAAGGTGCTTTTTCATTCAAGGTCACAGAAACGCTTAGGCCTTAATAACAATATATAGGTCTACATTACATTACATTTATATGTTATAATTATTTAATTTCTCTCTTAGATGTGCAACCCCATCTTTTGAAACACCGACATGCGACTGCCGTGGCCCTCATTCACTGTTTCATCAAACAAGCTCTCTACCTTGGCCGCCGAAAGCCGCACGCATAATGTGGTGAGTATGAATTATTAATAATCCGCCATTTCACTTCAGAAAAGTTATTAAATCCAATTCTCGTGGTTCATAGGTTCGTGCACATCTCTATATTCTAGACAAAACGCAGACTTGTTAATAAACATTCTAAATCCAGAAAAATTATATGAAACCAGTTTTATTTTCTTATGAATATTTGCAGTCTTTTTAGAGTATGTACGGTTTTAATTTCTCTGTTCAACTGTTGGGGGAATAAAGCCATTTTGGAGCTTGTTTACGATTTCTCTCAGTGTACTAAAGCAGGCATGAGGGCTTTTAGTGTCCAGTGAGGGGCGCTGTTGCTAAACCGCAGTCTTTCAAAACTCTGTAAAACTTCTGTGGGTGTAAAACATAAGCTCTTAATATCTAGAAAATGACATTTTTTAAAATCCTGTCCATAAGTAAAAACAAGGTTTTGGTCCAAATTTGTGATGCACACAAAATAATTAACAACCCACAAAACAAAACAAAGTGTTTAGGCCCTACATTTGTGTTTGTGCAACAGTGCTGAGGTAACGTAGGATGTAAACATTCTAACTGCAGTCAGTTAAAACATTTCCATTCCTTCTGTACTTTCCATACTCTGTTGACACAAGTGTACGGGAGTTTTGAGTAAGGGTTAGATTTAGGTTTGAAAATATGTATAGTAAGCCTATAATACAATATATGGCATTTTTCTTAGAACTTTCCATTGACCTTTGTGTTTACACTCACACAAACCATTTTTATTTTTTTACAGTATGTTTTGTAAGTCGTTTTCCATGTGATGGCGGTTGGCTGGTCCCTGTGATGTAGGTGAGTTCATATTTTACTGTCCCAGTGGTGAGATTTGGTCCCCAAAATGTAGGCAAAGCCTGACCCACTTGTAGATGAACCTCTTTGGCAGTACTAGTGTATACGATGATATTTGTGTGCTTGTGTCTGTGTTATCTGTGTGCTAGTTTGCATACTCTTGTTTAGCAAATTCTGTACTGTCAAGTACAGTTCTCTTAATAGGCTGCATAAAGAGGCTACACCTGACAGTCTGTTCCAGCGAACTGGCTTTGTTTTCTCACTAGCGCTATTTAGCCACTAACAGTAGACAAAATGACAAGCAGAACAGCACAACCATAAAACATCATAGCATTAAAACCGCATGCACTTGATGCACTGTGGCTGTCTCTGTCAAGGCTTTCTAAACCAAACACTAGTTTTCATTGAAGCAATTGCTCCTGCAGCCTGCTCACGTTTTTGCCAGGTTTCATCAGAATCCTCTTCTGACAAGGTCATTTCTGTTTGTTAAAAACTCAGTTTATTTGGATGCTCACAAAAAAGACCAATGCAATAAAACACTTAGACCTTTCAGAATGATCGATCAAACCATAGATGTCCAGTATTCCAAATCTGCTTTTTTATATACTTGTCATCAAGTTCTAAATCATCTCTCTTCTAATCAAAAGTCAAGATGCTTTAATAACATCTGTTAAAGAGATAGTTCACCCAAAATTTTGAAATTTGTGACCCTGGACCACAAAAGCAGTCATAAGCAGCACGGGTATATTTGTAGCAATAGCCAACAATACATTGTATGGGTCCAAATTATCGATTTTTCTTTTATGCCAAAAATCATTAGGATATTAAGTAAAGATTATGTTCCATGAAGAGATTTTGTAAATTTCCTACCGTAAATATATCAAAACTTAATTTTTGATTAGTAATATGCATGGCTAAGAATTTCATTTGTACTTTTTTAAAGGTGATTTTCCTCAATATTTTGATTTTTTTTGTGTCCTCAGATTACAGATTTTAAATATTTGTATCTCAGCCAAATGTTGTCCTGTCCTAAAAAACCATACATCAATGGAAAGCTTATTTATTCAGCTTTCAGATGTTGTGTAAATCCCAATTTCAGAAAATTGACCCTTATGACTGGTTTTGTGGTCCAGGGTCACATTTGTCATCATATTCTCAACCTTATGGAACACAAAAGAAGATATTTTGGAAAATTTCTCAGTGTTTTTGTCCCCACCATGCAGTGAAAGTCAAATATTTTAAAGCATTCTATTCTATTCTATTCCATTCTATTCTATTCTTCTACTTTGATTCCATAACCGCGCTCATGTATTTCATTTTAACAAGTGGTTATTGTATTGTGCAACATGTGCAACGTATATTCATCCTTTGAAAGACATCCTCAGCATTGTGAATTCCACGATGCATGCATAAATCTTCATCCTTCAGCACAGACCGCTTTCTCAAATACAGAGCTTCAATAATAGATCAAAAATGAGGTTCTCTTGCTCACTCTCTCTTTGTGTGCGAGTGTGGCAGGTGTGTGGATGCAGCCCCCTGTATGCCGTTAAATTATAAAGAGCCCTCGTAGAGTTCAGGAGACAACCCTGACCTCCGGTAACAGCAGGTTTGAGAGAGAGCACCACATGAGTTCTGCAGCAGAAACAACATGGTGCCAATAGCTGATTCCGAATCAGTGGATTGTTTTAGCACATGGTGTGTGATTGGCGTAGCTTTGGTCTGAGATCAGCTTTCTTGGTTTACTGTTATGTGGAAATTGAGGGCTTGTGGATGCACTGTAAGTTTCTCTAACTCTTACTTTTGCCAAGTCAGGGAGTGTCAGAGCAAGAGAAGATACCGGTTATCAGCAGGGATCAAGCTGTTGATAGATACTTGGCTGTCTTTCTGACTCTGGGCTTTGAGCTTAATACCACACAAACGTCTGTCTCTTGAATCTTTAGTGGTGGGAAACAAAAGCTGATGAATCCATAGTAGCCTTTTGGCTGTTTATAGTGATTTAATGTCATCTTGCTCACCGCTAACATTTGCACTTCTAACTTCAACTTAAAGGGTCACACCAAAATGACTTTTTAGGTTATAATTTATCCTTGTGTTGTTTCAAAACTGTAAGACTTATTTACTTCTTTGGTACACAAAAGAAGATATTTTGACAAATATTTTATTTTGTTCATACAATGAAAATAGCTTTTAAAAGGTCTTAAATTTCTGTTTATACAGAAAATCAATGGGGTTCAAAACAACAACGAATTATGAATATCGTTAGCTCTGTGGAGAATTGCTTTTGTTCCTCTTATTGTAAGTCACTTTGGCATACAGTAAATGCATAAATGTAATTGTGCAGAATTCCTTCTTATGTGTTCCACAGAAGAAAGAATGGGACAGTTTTCATTATTGGGTGAATTAAGATCAATTGCCATCATCTGTGTCATGCTGTCAATTTCATGACAATCCCAGGAGTCCATTCCATTGGCATTCCCATTCGTTTCAATGGCAGTTGCTCAGATGGTTCAGGATTTGAAATCTGTGGAAATGAGCAAAGATGACAGAAAATTTTTTTTTAAATGTCATGTGATTTTTCAATCTGGAGCTGCATTGATTTCATGACGGTTCAACGGTTTTAAACGGTATCAGCATAAATCCATATAATTTTGTGATGGCTTTGCAATGATAAGGGACAATACAAACTATTAAAACCTACTTTAGTACATTTCTCTCTAGTTTATTTCTTCCCATGAGCAAAGATGACAGAAATTTTTTTTTTAAATGTCATGTGATTTTTCAATCTGGAGCTGCATTGATTTCATGACGGTTCAACGGTTTTAAACGGTATCAGCATAAATCCATATAATTTTGTGATGGCTTTGCAATGATAAGGGACAATACAAACTATTAAAACCTACTTTAGTACATTTCTCTCTAGTTTATTTCTGTGTTAGTCTGTTGTGTGTCAATCAATCAAAGCTAAAGATGTGCTGACTTAATATTCACAGCTGCCCATGGGGCATCTGATTGTGGTGTGTTTATATTGCCACAAAATAAAAACATTGCTGGTTTGTATAACACATTTATACAAAGAATTCAGGATCAGTATTCATGCTGACATTGTCAAAAATCCAACTTTGCAAAAACAATGTATTACTTTTTTGGCTGTCTGTGAAGAAATACATTGTCTACCATCAGGGAATAATTGTGCACCAGCCAAACCTTGACCCCTTGATTACTACAGAAAATCATTTTGACTCGTCCTTCATCTTGTAGAAACAAAAGGAAAATCATGTTTACGGTAATGCAATTATGAAAGCCTTATAAACTTGATATCTTATTACAGATGAGAGCAACCTTAACCTTTGCTCAGAGGCTTTGTACAAAGATAGGTTATGAAGATTTAGACGGTTTATGGAAATTTGTTTTTAAAATTTAAATCTTCAGAGCCTTCCTTGTAAAATTTGGCCTTCACAAGCATTTAAATTATGCTGGGGATTAAGGCACGCACACTGAGTGCATTGGAGATTCCGGTAATGTACTCTGATCTAAGTACTGAAATGCACCGTTTGCACAAAGTGCCTTTATGCTAGCAGTAGTCAAAGTGAGAAATAGGAAGATGTAAGAGACAGCAAGAAAAAGATATGGACAGCGATCAGCACAGTAATTAGTAAAGCTCATTAGTCTCATCTCCATCCTGCTTCAAAGGCAGCTCATGCAAACTGACAGAGTTTAACCACCAGCTTCATTTTGAAAAGTTCAGTGGTGAGCAGACCTGTGGCGCTTACCTGTTTAGAATGCCATAGGAATGTTTGTAATGAAAGATTTTACTAGTTAATCCAAAATGTTCTCTTCTTTTTCAAACTAGTTGATTGAGTTCATTTTAAAAAAAAAATGTTTTGAAAGATATCACTA